AGAACTCGCCCCCTGGGATTCCTTTGATTGCACAGAGCTGCGGGGTCCTTTTCTCCCCTGGGAACACTGACTCTGGGCAGCAAGCAGCTTTGTAAACTGACCAGCACCGCGAGGCCGGCTTGCACGGGAGCCCTGGAGTGGCGTCTTAACCAGGGGGCTGAAGCGGGTACCAGCCTCGGACACATGGGAAGTCAGTGTTTAAAAACCTCACTGATAACTGGAACTTGGCTAATTCCCAGCTATAATTAGGAGGGCCCGGAGGCCGAGGATGCTTTGGTTTCCTAAGTTCTATTTTGACGGTTTAGGAAACAGGAAGTGACTTAGGAGGCCCAGGAGCTAACGAATGTCTTTGTAGCAGCTGATTCCAGGGAAAAGTCAAAGGTGAAGTGCATTTGGGTCATGTCCCTTCAAAGCATGTTCCTATTTCCTGAAAAGTATGAATCTCACTATCAATAGCAACAATTTTTCTGGTAAATTTGGTTGAATATAAAAAGGTGCATGATTGCCAACTGCACAGCTTGATGAGCTTTCACAAACTGAACATGCCCATGTGACCAGCCCCCAGACCTCTCCCGGGGCCCCTCCCAGCCACCTCTCCACCTCCCAAATATCACCATGATCCTGACTTAACACCGCAGATGGGTTTTATCAAAAATGTCTTGGGCCTTGATTCCAGATTCTCAAATCTGAATGCCCCCAGGACCCCCCACAAGCATCCCTAACAGCTGAAGGGCCCAGCAGGACCGTGGCCCCTGGTGCCGCTGTGCAGGGACGTTTGCCAGTGCTGGCCAGGCAAAATCGCAGGCCCAGGGTCGGCAAGTAATTTGATTTCGCAAGAGAAGCTGGAAGTCTAGATTTTTATGTGAAATCTCATGATTATTGAATGTTGGCGACTCATGAAAATTTAGCACGCTGTGGAGGCCAACTTGGTCCAGGCCAAAGAAAACAAGCTTCTGGGCCAACTTGGCCAGCGGGCTGCCAGTGGGGGTGACCTGGCAGGGCCCCCAGGGAGGGGACAGGTGTGAACACAGATGTCACGGCTCAGAGGAGGGGTGGCAGATGCCTGGGTGTGGGGGCGAGGCAGGGCAGGACCACCGACCGAGGAGTGGTGTTTAAACAGCGCTTTGAAGGACGCAAGGACAAGCAGAGCAAACTCCTCAGGCAGAGGGAGGGTGGCCGGCCGAGCCTGGAGACCCCTCTGAGCCCGGGGTGGTCAGGAAATGCAAAGCGATTGGTGTGGCTGTGGCACTGGGAGGGGCGGGCACAGGGGCTGGAGATGTGGGCAGCAGCCCCTCTCGAAGGACCTGGAATGGCCTCTGGACTTTGTCCTGGGGCAACGGGGAGCGCTTCAGGTTAGGCAGAGGCGGCCTCTGTGCAGCGAGGGCAGGGAGGGGAGCTGGGGGCTGGGCCGGGGCAGCAGGGAGCCAGGACACCTTGGTCCACGGCAGCGGCTAAAGAGAAGGGAACCAGGGACTTGGGCCACATTTCTGGCCTCCTGAACAAATCTCCGCTCCCCCCAACCCCCCATACAGAGACTCTCCTTGACCAAACCTGGGTCAGGGGTCTGAGCCCTCTCCTCAACCCGCCCTGCCCTTGGGTTTAGGCCAGCTTAGCGAGGCTCAGATTCCTCATCCCTCACTCTCCATGACGGCTTATCCCCCTGGGCTGCCAAAGGCAAGAGTCCTTCCTGTCAAGGCGGTGTAGCCTGAGTCCCGAGCCCTGATGTCTCCTCTGAGTCATTTTCCATCTGTGACCCCCGGCCCGCTCCTCGGCTGGGAATCCCACTTGTCCTCGTTGTATCTGGAGTTGAGCCCCTCTCTCTCCCCCACGGCAGATGCCCCACTGCAGCAGCCCCCTGGGTAAGGCCCCCCTCGCCGTCTCTAACAAGCGTCCGGAATAATTTTTCTGTAATACCTGTCCACACCGAAGGGAATTCCAACTGTATCACGGTTTGAAGATAAAATACCCATCGTAACCAAGGGGCTGGCTAATGACCTGCTTTCATTTCAGGAAGGCTGTGGGGACAGAAGCCGTGGCTCCCTCCAGTGGCATCATCTCCGCTCCTTGTCCTTACCTTCAGTGTGAGTGCACGGCCCAGAGTGAAATCCGTCAGAATTTCTGATCTTCCCTGTATCCCCAAGATCTGCTCCTCCCAAGGCCTTCCATCTCAGCAAATGGCAGCTCCGTCCTTGCCAGACATCTCAAAGCTGTCTTTCACACCCCACATTCGATCCTTGAGCAAATCCTGCTGGGTCTGCCTTTAAAATCAACCCAGAACACCACTGCCATTGCCACCACCCTGGTTTGAGCCGCTAGCATTACTTGCCTGGGTTTACTCACTAGCCCCTAGCTGGTCCCTATGTTTCTTAACCCAGCAGCCTATTATAGTCAGATCCTGACTCCCCTCTGTTCAAAACCTCCCGAGGCTTCCACCCCACTCAGAGTAAATGTCAGAGTTCCTGTAATGGCCTACACAGACCATGATCTGTCCCCTCCCCTATCATGTCTCCTACCTTGTTTTCTTCTACGCTTCCCCTGCCCACTCAGCTCCAGCTGCACTACTCTCTCATTATCCCCCTACCCCAGGGTCTTTGCACTGGCTCCTCCCTTGTCTTGGAACCTCCTTTCCTAGGATATCGCCATGGTTTGCTCCCACTCTCCTTCAAGTCTTTGCTCTAATATCCCCTTCACAGTGAGGTCTTCTTGCAGCCCTGATTTAATCTCACATCTGCTACCCTCACTTCTACCCACTCCCTGCTCTATCCTTCTCCCTGGCTCTTAACACCCGTGCACCCTACAATGCACTTAGTAACGTTGTTTGTGCTGTCTCTTCTCCCCAGTGCTGAGTGTCCAGTCGGTGCTCAACGAGCGGAAAAATGTCTTAGATGGAAATTTCAAAACCCTCTCTGCTTCCTCTGTGTATTTCTTAAGATAGTATGGTCCCTGAGACACATTTCCCTTGGGCTGTCCTGGCTTTGAACTCCTGGGACACGGCAGCCAGCCTGCAGGTCACCTAGTCCTGCCCACGTGCACACCAACCGCCGTCTCAAGCCCACACCTGAGGGACTGGTTTCCAAACAGATGCGTGTGCAGATACTCATATGATGCCTATTGCGCGCCCGTTTAAAAGCCATACTGAACTCCTTTTGGCTGTCTGCTGTGATATATTTTCTCTGTCAGCCAACACCCTCAACACCACCTTTATTGCATGGAGGTCCTCCTTCTCATGATAGCTGGGAACGCCTTGCCTAGGGCCAGAAAAGGGATCTAATAAACAACTCTGGAGACCCTTGGCCATCCTTCATATGGGTTTCTGCCAGGGACACTGCCCGCAATTACTCTCCCCTACCCCCAGGCAGAGTAGCAGCAGCTGACAGTGAACACAGGCTTGCCCACCAGAGTAAGGCAATTCATAATCCGTTAACCTTGAATTCTGCAAGCCCTGCCACTCCACAAGCTGTCGGAGCAGTTCTCAGTTTGGGCAGAATTCAAATGAGCTCTTGCAATCAGAGTGCAATTAATTGTTGCACACCCTGGGCATCTGGGCACCATGTGCTGTGCAGGGTGAAGGCAGTTCAGGGAACATGGTCATCTTAGAGCAGAGGCGGGGATGGGGATGCTCACAGGTGGGCAATCCCACTTTGCACAAGAGAGCCCAGAAAGGTTTGTGAGAATTTGGTCAGTTGCTCTTGGTTCAGACGTTAATAATAATGGCTAGCATTTATTGAGCAACTACTGTGTGCCAAATACTTTTTACAGGCATGACCTCCTTACAACAGCCCAATGTTCCTCCCCTTTTTATAAATGTGGAACTGAGGTTCAGAGAGGTTAAATGCCTTGTTCAAGGCCCTCAGCTGGTCAAGCCTCAGATTTGCCTGATCTCAAACTCAGTTTTCTTGACCATTCTGCTCCCACCCCAACCTTAAAGATTCTGGGTTGGCAGCCTCTGTGGGGCACCCCTGCCTGCTAACTACAACTTTGTGTCCGATATGGGACCTTCTTGGTCATGCTGTGCAGAATCTCAGCCGGGATGGCCTGAGTGGGGAAGCCCCATTGGTCATATCCAATGCTGGCATCCTGTGTGGGGCACTTTGCCATCCTTCCTTCTGTCCCATGCCATGATAGGGAGCCCAGGGGACTGCAGCCTCATCTTGCCAGGGGAGCTCTTCCTGTTGGTTCATACAGCCCAAGTCCCCCTGGGCGACGCCCCCCGGGAAGCACAAGCCCTCAGACTCTGCACCCCGCATTCCTGGTGGGGCACCCCTCCTGACTGGTCCTGCAACTCCACGTTCAGCATGAGACATCCCTTCCAGCGGGTCCTGCAGCTCCTGGGCTGTGGGAAGCCCAGCAAACTCTGCAGCCCAGGCTAGCCCTTTTGGGGCTCCCTCTTGGGGCTCCCTCCTGGAGGCGGGGTCCCCTGCTGGTCCATGTCCCTCATGGGGAGCCCCAGCAGGCTCTGCCCTCGTCTCCCGGGGGCAGGGTCTCTCTGGATCTTGAGTGGGATGCCCCCTCCCGGCCGGTTTTCTCGCCCCACGTGCTCGGTGGGAAGGCTCTTTCTCCGAGAGCACCTTTGCGGCGCTCTCCTTGCTTCTCAGACCCTCCACGCGGGTGCCGCTCTCTTTCGGGGGCGTCCTTTCTCTCCCGGTCTCCCGCCCGCGCCCGGCGTGGGGCGCCCCCTCTCCCGGCGAGGGCGGGCGCCGGAGCACTGTCGCCGGCGGCCTGCAGGTGTCTCCCCACGGAGGGGCGCGCGTTTCTGCGCCGTGGCCGCCGCCAGGCGCCAGCGGCTCCTCGCCGAGGTGCACTCGCGCTCCGGGCTCCGGGCGCGCCGGAGCCGCTCCGCCGCCGCCGCCTGCCCC